AAGAATAGGCTGATACTAGTATCAAAGATAAGTTTTCATTTGATTCAATTCCAAAGAAACACTAGCCAATCTCATCTCTATGTTTTTATCTTAATTTCGATTTCATTATCTTTTTTCTCTGTATAATTAAATTTTAGTGCCTAGAATATTTCTTTTTTTTTCTATCAGAAATTAAGTGCAAATTTATAGTCAATACCATACATACTAATTAAATTAATTGTAAGTTAATACAATTCTTCGTCTAGACTTTGAGATGATGATCATAAGGGATAAAATCTTCATATTTTTCTTTTATTAATATCCTAACTTGATTAATAAACTAGGTTTTTTCTTCTCAAAAACTCTCAACAAACGGTTTGTGGAATATAAACACGATATAAAAATTCTCCTCGACGAGTATAAAATATAATTTGATCTGTATAATTAATATCATTCAAACGTTTATGTCCACAAACAGCAAGTATTTCTCCAGGTGATGACCGATCAATTTTAATATCTATTTTTAAAATTAAATAAAACAAAAATATATCTCCCTTTTTTTACTTTGAAGTTCAGTATCAACGACAATCGATGACTAATCTTGATAATTATTAAGAAAAAGTATTTATTCGTTTTCAACACTACAAGCAAGAATAAAATCATCATTGACAAATTTTGTTGCATCCTTTGGGTTGTCAAGAAAGGCCAACCCAATAAAATAAAATATTTATTTAAAAAAATATTAAAACAAACTAAACTATTTTACTATTATCTGGTGCTTTACGATAAAATTTATTACAGGAATTAATTAATTGTTTAATTGATTGTGTTGATAATGAAGTCATTTCTATTGTATTACCATGATGATCCATTATAATTAATTGTTCTACTATTGTACCAAGAATAACACTAAAAAAACACAAATAACAATTCTCATGTTTTTTTTTATATTACTTTGAAACATCAGACATACATGTAACAGCAGAAATTTTCGTTTGTGGAATATTTAAAACAGTTGATCAATAATGTTGTCCAGTAACTGAATCAGTAAGTATAAAACCATCTTCATAACAAATAACAGTCATACGTCCATCATGTGACCATGACATATTAATAACTGGATGATTAAGATCATTAATTAATTCTAATCACCAACGATTATCATGTTTAACCCAAACAAAAATCACACATTTTTCATCAACAGTTGCTAATTTTTCATATGGAATATTCCATGAAATAAGGCGAACTTCTGTATGATGTGTACGTAAACTCAAATTTTTAAGATCGAATATAATTAAATTTTCATTAGATTTTATTGATGTATATGTAACAATAACTATATGATTTGTATTACCTGTAGCTAACCAATCTTCATGTAAATTTATTGATGATATTGGCCGATTATTGTTATCATCATCATCATTCGTGTTATTATAATGACGAAGGTGGAGTTGGAGATATGTCACTACTATCCGAATGAATTTACTCGTAATGCAACAAAAGTCGGTGATTTCCACTCTGATTTAATAGTCAACAATAACGTATCATGAAAAGATTAATTCTAATAAATTATATTTGTGTGGTCATCATTGACAATTTCATCCTATTCATACATTACATTTTCTTTGTTACCTTTTTTTTTATTTCAATTCATTCAGTAGTATTTTATTAATTATGCAAGCATATGCAGTTAGCCTAGAGTACAAAAAAGGTTGCAAATCAAAACTTTTAAACACGCTCTTCATGCAAATGCTTGATATTATTCCAAAGATCTGACTTTAAAATTGTTTCGTTAAGTGGTACCTTTTTAATGATAAGAATTCTGAAGCCTTTCTGTTTCGTAGCCTTCGGATTTTGTAATCATATATCTTTCTTTATCTTATTGGGATATCAACTACTGCGACACAAAGTTATCTTCTACCATCTATCCGTTTCAAGTTGTGAGAGACTAGACAAAAACATTAGTATTGATAATTGACCACTATATTATGATGAAGTACAATACAAAGAAGATTGATAAATGCAAAAAAAGATACTTTACAAAAAGTTTAATTTACAAAAGTGTTTTTGTTTGTTTATGCAATTTTCCATTGATTAAATTGTCAACATATTTTCGCCCGTCAGCATAATAGAAAATACCATTTCCATTCATAATACCGCCTATAAAATTTCCTTCATATCGATCCACATTGGGCCAGATAAAGACACCTGGACCATTGACCTTATCATTAACCCAACTGTCTACATATTTTTTCCATCAGCATAATGGAAAATACCATTTCCATTCATATGATCATCTTTAAAGTTTCCTTCATATCGACTTCCAATTGGGTATATTAATACACCTTGTCCATTTTTTGTACCATTTATCCAATTGCCTACATATTGTCCTCCATCATGATAATAGTAACTGCCATTTCCATTCATATCACCGTCTATAAAATTTCCTTCATACCGATCCCCATTTGGCCACGTAAGGACACCTGGACCATTGATCTTATCGTTAATCCAATTGCCTATATATTTTCGGCCATCAACAAAATAGAAAGTGTCATTTCCATTCGTATCATCGTCTGTAAAATTTCCTTCATATCGATCCCCATTTGGCCACATAAAGACACCTGGCCCATTGACCTTATCATTAATCCAATTGCCTACATATTTTTCTCCATCAGCATAATAGAAAATACCATTTCCATTCATATTATCATCTTTAAAACTTCCTTCATATCGATCTCCATTTGCAAACTTGAATACACCATATCCATTCCTTTTACCATTAATCAAAATGCCCACATATATTCGTCCATCAGCATAATAATAAGTGCCAAGTCCATTAATATCACCATTATTAATGTTTTTTTCAGCTGAATGGGTAGTATGAAACGTAGTACCTGAAATAAAATGAAACCATAGGGTTTTGGATAAAATATATACTCTTTTCTGATGAGTTTAAAGAGAGAACTACTGAAACTTTCATGATCATTGTAAGATATCAGAATCTGTGTCTTCAATCTCAGAAAATCTTTGATTTCGATGAAAGAAAAGACTGTGTTAATACATAATATCGAAGGAAGTGAAAATTCAGATATTTTATTTGATTTATTCATTACGCGAACGAGAAAATTAGTTGCTGTTTGTGTAGTAATATTTCTGCACTTTATTAGGTACTATGTAAGTTCAGTGTGATCAACTGCATACAACATACAAATAGTTAAGAAATCTATTGTGTATGTTACCGCAGCAGAAAAAGAATGTAACGTTCTTGAAATTGTTTGTAACTGATATC